TTTACATTTTATATATATATATCCCTTGGCAGACCAAATCTATTTATGCACCGATTAAGTCTGACTACCTGACTTCTAACACCTGAGTCTGTCCCCTTTCATATAACATTGTCACTCCTACTGTGTAATGCTCCAAGTGTCACTGTCATTGCAAACATTTTTTGTCCAATGTGCAGAAACTATTTTCCAGTTTCCTATTATTTCTGCCTCTCTATCTCTGCTTGTGACAGCACCACTCAGAACATTACCTCTGTTTTCTTTCTGAACGTTTTTTTAGCTTAAGTGGCTCACTCCCTAAAATGATAGGTAATTTTTGCTATAATCATCTCATACAGGGTCCTTATGTTTTTCCATGGCACCAATAACTCTAGCACATAGCAGGTACTCAGTAAATAGCTCATTGCTGGGCAGGACTTGGATAGATGACTCTTTGCTATGAGCATCTCTCTTCAGCCCCGCTAGGCTTTCTCTCTGTCCTATCTTTGGGGGACAGTTCAGCTTTCTTGTTATCTCCTAGTTGTGTGAGATTCCCCCTCTTGGCTGATCTTGAACCCAAGTGCTTCTCAGGACAGAACCTGAGAGCCTGGACCAAGGAGAGTCTGAGCTCAGACAGTGCTGCCTCCCGCCCTCTGTGTGACCTCCACTCTCTCAGTCTCCATTTCCTCATCTGTGAAGTGAGTGAAGCAGGCCAGTGGGTCTCGAGGCTCCTCGCAGTTCTAATGTTCAATGATCTGGAATTGAGGTTCATAATCATATTTACCAATCCCTGTCTCTCTCAAACACACATCTGCTTGGAAACTTCAGAAAAATTCTAACGCCTTTGGAGTCTTACAGACACAAGAACATTGTAAGAATGCTGCAGAAGTTCAAAAGAAGATGCAATGTTGGTCATTTAAAAAATAGAGTTTCTGAGATTTGGCTGTAACATCAGGGACTATGAGTCTGTCGTGTGCACATAGAGCAGGGAGAGAGTTTTAGAACTGACTGGAGAGGTCCAAAGGACAAGTTCAGCTCTTTGCTGTATTAATATTCTTTACTGCTGTCTTTCCATTGGCCTGTATTTCCATCTGCCTAACTCTGTTGAAGCAGAGATCAACTTTCTTCTTTATAAACTATTGTGTTTAGGTAGTAGCCTTGAAATTTTTCACAAGAACATTAATGAAAACGATATTCTAATCAAATACCTAATAAAATTACCTAAGTCATCACCTTATGTTTCCATAGAGAATGTGTTTGGGAGAAGCTAGGTATCTTTTCTTACCAAATTTAGTAGAACTAAAGCAAAACAAAAAACTCCCCAATGACAACAACAAAACTCTTAAAATATCTCTGTCTTTATTCTATGTGTTTAGAAGTCAAAGTAATCTTTAAAACCAAGAAAGGATCAGGTCATTCACTGAGTAAAACCCTTCAAAGTTTCTCTCTGTACTTGGGTTAGAATGTAGTCTTAAACCAACCAGGCTGGGCCATCCTTTCCCTCGGCTTTCCTCTGGGCCTTACCTCCGGCCACTCTGCCTTTGGAAGTCATAATATTTTTTTTGTGGGACTGTGGTTTGAACTCAGGGCCTCTTGCTTGCAAGGCAGTGCTCCACCAGTTGAGCCACCCACTAGCCCCCACTCGCCCCCACTCTGCCTTTGGTATACTTCTCTATAGCTGCCTTGGCCTCCTTTTACCACCTCAATTATACAAAACTCATTTCTTATCCTTTGCTTGAAATTTACTGCCCTCAACTCCTCTTTTCTTTCCTTCTCACCTCTGGTCCAAATGTCACCTCCTCAGAGAGGTCTTGTGGCCTTACATGTAAGTGACTCCCTTTATTTTTCCTCAGTCCAGTCTTTGTCATGTTATCTCACTGGTTTCCTTCATGAGAACTATCACAATTTCTCAGTAGCTTGCATTTCTTACTTGAATGCTTTTTTACTTGTCAGTTCTTGCCACCAAATGTTAATCATAGAACTTAAAGCTCTATGATTATTATTGGCAGATTTTGGAATTTTACTTTAGTAAACTCTTAAGGGAAAAGAAAAATTGAATGAGATATGGATAATAGAGATTAAATATATATTTTCAGATTTTAAAAAATGCAACAGGGACTGGAGCTGTAGCTCAGAGTATGTGCAGGCAAGTCCCTGGTTTCAACATACAGCATCTCAAAACAAAAACAATGAAAACTTTTTGTAAACCTGAAATTATTAGTGATCAGGTTTTTTGTAATCAAAATAATACTCAAATGCTTAGTTATGAAGCATGACCTTTGCTCTATATTTTGAGGAATTTGGATAATCTGTTCATATTTACCAAGAGCCAGAAGTTTTTTTTCTATTATGTAGGAAAAGCAGGAACAACAAACCTAACACAAGAAGTTAACCCCAACTACAAAAACAAACCAAGCTGGGCACTGGTGGCCCACCCATGTAATCCTAGCTACTGAAGATGATCGTGAGGTTCAAAGCCAGCCCTGGCAAATAGTTCTAGAGACCCTATCTCGAAAAATCCCATCACAATAAAGGGCTGGTGGAGTGGCTCAAAGTGTAGGCTTCAGTACTGCAAAAAAAAAAAAAAAAAAAAAAAAAACAACAACAAAACAAAACAAAAAACCAAAAACGGTGGCAGCTGGGGCATTCTGCAGTTCAACTATAAAGACAAATATATAATCTGATAAAAGACAGCTTTATACAAAGTGACAGACCTTGGCTATCCCTGGGAGAAGAAAAACTCCAAAAACGAATTGATAAATCAACAGGCTTCTAGGTATGTCAGGGTTTGGAAATGTGGCACAGAGGTTGATGACTTATTGTGGCACTTCCCTGGAGGAATTGATCTGTTTTCAAAATCATTTAAAACTCATTTTAGGTTTTATTTCCCTACACATTATACTTCTAAAGAAATGCATACACATTAGGTTTATTGAATTGGGAATAACAGGAAGGCTTGGCTGGCCAAGGATATCACCTCTCTGGTTCTTCTTATTATTTTAGGTGAGACTGGGGTTTGAACACAGGGCTTCATGCTTGCCAAGCTCTACCTGGCTTGAGCCACCTCTCCAGTCCATTTTGCCCTGATTATTTTAGAAATGGGATCAAACAAACCATTTGCCTGGGCTGACCTTGAATAGGAGATCCTCAGGAGCTCAGCCTCCCAAAGTAGCTAGGATTACAGGCATGGGCCTTGGGTACCCGGCTACCTGTTTGGTTCTTAAGGAGATCATTTGATAGTGTTTCTCAATTTTTTAAACCTATATGTTCTCAAGGGAGTATTTATCCAAACCTTACTTTCCATGGCTTACAGTACAAAATCAGTAGTTTTTTTTTTTTTCCCCCAGTTAGTTCTAATTTTGCCAATAGCATGAATCAGCACAAAATCCATTGTTTAAAATTTAAACACTCCAGTGCCTCCTGAAATACAATCCCTCTGTGTTTGGTTTATATTTATCTTCAATAACCTGAGAAAAGCTCTAGGTGAGGGTGGTGAGGCAATGGAGATGGTGCGTTTCCTGTTTGATTGTTGCAGCGCACATCAAGCGCTGGGCTGCAGGAAAAAACAAAATTCCAAGGATCGCGGAGGGCGCCGTTCTTGCGACCGGCGCCTGCTGAACGCGCTTCCCTCCCCGACTGCAGTGGAAGCGGGTGAGAGGCTGCTGGAGACCACCGGGCTGCCTGCGGAGCCCGTGCGCACCCGCCCTCTCATCGGCGAGCCCGCCGCAGGGAGCAAATGAAAGCGAGTTTCAGAGAACAAACGGAGACCGGACCCAGTTATTTATTGAATACGCTTAACACATCTTCGCTGGTGCAGGATCTTCCTCCCATTTATTAATTTTTAAATTTTCACCGCAATCGTGGGAGATTCTCATGTCCCTATTATAATTTTAGCTTTTGGGTTTCCCGTTTGAAATTGACCATTAAGGCCAGCTCAGCTTCCAACCCAGGCGATGGAAGTAGGATTTTGGAGAATCTGTTTAGGGAGAAATGTTTCCAAGTGCAAAGAGTAGAAGTGAATCGGGATACACTTGCTGCCTGCTCACCAACAGGCCCTGCAGGTGAAAGCACTCGGGGCGAAGCCTAGAGCCGTGCCCCACCTCCGCCCAGGGCAGGGCGGAGCACCGCGGGGGAGGTCGGGACCCTGGGCAAGGCAGTTCTTTGTCTTTTTTCCCCAGCAGGAGAGCACGAGGCCGCGGTGCGTCCCAGTTTGGTCAAGCGCCGCCTAGGGCAGGGCTGGAAGAGCCCTGGTCCACTCGGGGTCGAGAAGCCGAAGGGCCCTAGATAGACCTCGAAGGCTAGCCCGGGCCCGCGCCCTCAGCCCCGCTCCGAGTCGGCTAGGTTTCGGAGTCCCGCCGCTGATGCCCCTTTGTACTCCGGCAGCCCCAGTTGCTATGGGAACGCTCCTCGCCAAGCTCCGGGAGGCTGGCAATGGCGACGTCACCTGACTTGGTTTGGGGGTGCCGCCCCACCCTCAACTGTTTGCCACAAAGAAGCCCGTGATGTAGATGTTTTGTAAGTGAGGGATCCAGGAGGTTGCATTAATACAGAAGGAAAAGCCAGGCTACATCCCTACAATCCCATTTCCTCCCGCCAACGATTTTAACTGTCCTACAAAGCAAGCAGGAGAGGGCGTTGTAATTTGGGGGATTTGGTCTGATGGACCACGCCTACGCGGGGTGGGGGGGGAAACACTAGTTCTTGCACACGCGGAAGAACAACCGAAACCTAGCAGGGATGATGATAGAGGTAAGTCCGCGCAGCAAATCACGCGGCCTAGAGCGGGGCGTATTCCGCTTTGCGTCCTTTGAGACCCCCCCCCGCCCACCTTTTTCTGCGCCGGTTGGTTCTGCGCCTGCGCAATACTCCCAACAAGCTCTCAGGCGGAGCGAACACTCTCGGAGTCGCTGGGGCGCGCAAAGGGGGAGGAGCTGACATGCTCAGGCGCGCGCCTCTGGAGTGACGCAAGAGAGCAGGCGAGTTGGGCGAATCGGGTGGGTAGAGTGGCTCAGCCTGGTGGCTAGGTGGGTGGTACGTAAGGCCGCTCTGGGCCCCGGGACTCTTGTCTCGCTTGCCTCTTCGGTTCTAGGAACAGATCCTGGGCAGAGGGAGGAGAGCTTTGGGTCAAGGGTTGCTGCTGTGGCCGCTACCACCACGACCACCGCCGCCCAGGAGGCGACCCGTCACTCCACTAGCCTGTGTTTGGCGGACCCTGGCAGTCAGGGTAAGCGGGCCTCCTTACCAGAGGGAGGAGCGTGAGATGAAAGTGTGGGAGGCCGTCAGGGTCCTGTGGGAGGGAACTGACTGGGGGGTGTGTGAGGGGCAGGGTCCTTGAGCCTGCTCCACACAGTAATAATAGTCGTTAATATGTGCCAGAACTTTACAAAGCATCCTACATGCTTCGTTTGTTTAACCTCTCCTGTAGTTCTCCGAGGTGCATACTGCTATCAAACCCATTTTACAAGGTGGGAAAACTGAGGCACAAAAGAGGTTACGTAATTTAATGTAAGGCTACACCGCTAGTATGTGACCTGGTTTCGAACTTTAGCGTGGCTGGCCTTCAGGCCTGTAATTTTAATATTTTTGTCTCACAAAGGAAAAAAGAGGCAGAAGTGTTAGAAGGAGGAGGGAGGGCCGAGCATGGTTCCAAGTGGAGAGGTGATCCTGAGCGAGAAGAGTGGAGACCCCGGGCTGTGAGGAAAGAGGACCAGAGTTTGGAACTTTTCGGGCCTCCCTCTTCGGAGTCGCCTCCTTCTCCAGTTCTTCTGGCCCTACAATTTTTCTTGGCTTTATGAGCAGGAGCCGTTTTGGAGGTGCCAGCTTACAGACTTGGGGCGCTGGGATGGTGTTAGGATTCGGTTGAACTGTGCCTCAGTCAGGACAGGGTATTGAACACTGTTTTTGTTGGTGGGAGTAGGGCGCCGGAGGTCGGTGGCGGCAGGGTCTAGAGAGGACCCAGCTGCCATTTCTTCTAACATGCAGATACTACTTCCTTTTCCATCTATCTGTGCACGGCAAAGCCTTTGTTTAGGCTTCTACAACAGGGAAGGGATGTTTATTGTTTTCTCACACACTTAGGCTTAAACAAAACCAGAAAAACCATAGAGATTCACCTAAACCAGCCTTGGTACACTGGACTGCTTACTGGTGGCTTTATAGTTAGTTGCTCTTCAGAGATTTCCTGGATGAATGAGGAACTCTGTTGAGAGGTTTATAGATCGTCAGGAGTGAGCTGAACAGATGGTAGGTCAGCACAGGACAGGGACCTCAGTGATTCCTGTGGATCGTGGATGCCTTACCCTCTTGCACAATTTCAAATATAACTCTTGTGGGAGGCAAATTTCAAATCAGCCTGTGAGGCAGACGTTGCATGTGATCCAAATTATCCTGACATTCTTTAGGAAGATGCAGAAGTTGAGATTGCCATCTTATTTCTGAATATATCCATCCGACACTGTCAGTTTTTCCCTCAACTTTGAAACTTGTTACTATTTCTTTGGTTGTAACTCATATAATTAGGTACCTCTACGGGCTGTGTTGTACAAATAAACATATTTGAAAGGAATGGAATCATTCTACACTGAGATGCAGGCCTTGAGAGGCTTAAAAGGAGGAAGAAAACCCAAGAGAACATCTTGTTTGTGGTTCCCACCTTAGGCTCATTCTGTAGCATGTGCTCACCAAGCGAAAAGTGGTAGACTAATTGCTGGCATTATTTATTTATTTGAGGTACTGGGGCTTGAACTCAGGGCCTACACCTTGAATCACTCCTCCAGCCCTTACTTTGTGAAGGTTTTTTTTTTTTTGAGATAGGGTCTCACATACTATATACCTGGGCTGGCTTTGAACTGTGATCCTCTTGATCTCTGCTTCCTGAGTAGCTAGGATTATAGATGTGAACCACTGGTGCCCTGCAAATTCCTGGTATTATTTAAATAGCTATTTTTCTCTTTTTTTGACCACCATATCCAGAAATATGACTTGCTAAGTTAAACGTGTAGTGTGTGATTTATCTTCACATTTGAGTGGCATTACATTTAGGGACTTGCAAGCTATTGTTTATTTCCACACACACTTCCTAGTTAAGGATTTGTTACAAGAATGTCTTACAAATTTTTTTCAGTGGTCTTTCTTGTGGGCTCTGCTTTTGTCAGATATGTATAGCAATAACTAGCTTTTTTATAGTGCTTCACTTTCTAAAATTCTTTTGTAAATTGAGGCCAATGTGTTTTTGTTTTTCTCTGCTTGTCTCCCTTTTGTTGCTTTGCTTTTATGGAAGTACCTCTCAAAAGCCCAGGAGTAAATCCCCTCTTTCAGTTTTTGGCTGTGTCTAGGGAAATTCAGAAGTGAAACTGATTTAACAGTAAATGGGCATAGATTAGGAATCTAAAATTCCGAGTCCCAACTTTTTCTTAAGTGTGGTCAGGGAGTGGAATTTACTCCATATTCACTTTTTTTCAGTTCTGGAATTTGAACTCAGGGCCTCATGCTTGCTCACTTGAGCCACTCAGCCAGCCCTTCGGTATGATCTTAGTCTTTCCTGTAGTTCTTTATTCTTTTGCAAGCCTATAATAGAAGAAAAACCAAGAAGAGGGCTGGAGGCATGGCTGGACTAAAAAACCAAAAAACTCCTAAAAAAATAAGAGAAGAAATAGATTCTGTCTTTGAGAAACTTCATCCTGTATTTGTTGGGGTCACCAAAAGAATTTATAAACAAGGAGGAAAAGCAAAAAGTTTATTAGGACACTGAGATAAGTAGCAGGCAGCTGAACATAAGGGATTGTTGCTGTGGTGCCTTTATGAGGGTTGAGGCAAGTTTATTAAGGCAAAGTAAATCAAAAGCAAAGCAAAGGTGCATCTTCCAGTGGGAGGGTGAGCAAACTCAAGAGACCCTGAACTAGAGGTCTCAAGACCTCAAGCTTGAATTAGGATCTGCAGAGAATGGGGGTGGATCAGTCTTAGAAAGCTAGGTATCATTAACTCTCAGAGACTTGGCTACGTGTCGTCAACTTCTCCCACAAGCTGAGTGGGGGAGTTTTTGGCCTTGGATGGTCAGATTGAGGCTGTTACTTTCTGTGGGCTCTAGGAGCTGCAGGTTAACAAGACCCTGCTGTATGTCAGAAGCCATTTTTTAAACATCAGCTGTCTAGGATATGGTTCCTTATCAACATCTAAGCCATGGTTCACAGGTATGAGGTTTTCTAATTCCCTGTCTAGCTTCCTTCAAATACCAGATAGCCTGCTTAAGTTTAGTAACTATAATTCCAGAGAAATATCTGTAGAAGTGTAGGATACCTTGAATAAATGGAATCTTTAAGGACTGTTGACAAACAGCAGATTGTTTTTTCAGAAGGTGATGACACTTGAGAATGCCAGGTTTGCTTTGTTCTAGATTCTCATTGTTGCATCTGCCAATCTTGAAAGTAGAAAGCAAAGCTTTTCTTTGCTCTGTCCTTTGCAAACCACTCATACTCATTTCACTGTTTCTGGGAATTTCCACCAACTATACAAACTAGAACCCACTGTTCTATTGTGTTGAAGATCCACATGGTTTTATAAGTAAATGCCCTTATGATAAGTCATTGGTCCTTTATTGGTCTATTTTTTTTTTTTTTTGGTGGGATGGTATTTGAACTCAGGGCTTCTTGTTTGCAAAGAGGGTGCTCTATTGCTTAAGTCATGCCTGTAGTCCATTTTGTTCTGATGATTTCAGAGGTGGAGTTTCATGAACTATTTGCCTGGGCTGGCCTTGAACTGAGATTCTCTTGATCTCATTCTCCCAATTAACTAGGATTAGAGCCACCGATGCACAGCTTTTATTTATTTATTTATTTACTTATGGTGGTACTGGGGATTGAATTCAGGGTCTTGTGCTTGCTAGGCAGGTGCTCTACCACTTGAGCCATTCCACCAGGCCCCCCCCCCTTTTTTTTTCTTCTTTTGCATTACTGGGGTTTGAACTCAGGGCTACTCCTTGAGCTACTCCACCAATCCTTTTTTGTGATGAGTTTTTTGAGATAGGGTCTCATGAATCATTTCCCCAGGCTGGCTTCAAACCTCCATCCTCCTGAGTTCTGCCTCCTGAGTAGCTAGGATTACAGGCATGACCCACTGGCGCCCAGCTGCCGGTTAGTTTCTTTTTTACTGTTTAAAAAAGTAGACATACCTTAAATTCTGATTTTTACTGTGGTTGGTAAGGGTTCAAATCAGCAAGTGGGATTGATTTTTACCACTTAAATCCTTCATGTCATCTATTTGCACAAATTTAAAGAGGTATTATATTAAGCTAATTAATTGCATTTGGCTTTTGGATTGTGGGGAAGAATAATTTCCTTTTTTTGAGGAATGGAGAGAGGAGTTCAATGCCCTTTTTCATTGTGGATATAAAGACAGGAATGTGGAGACTTGAACTTGAGAGTGTAGAGCTATATTATCTCATGCTTTCAGAGATCTCAGATACTCTTAAAATGGCTAAAGTGATTCTTTTAGAAATGTTTTCATGATTTGGCTCTGTGCAAAGTGATATGAAAGTACTGTGTAAGGGACATCTGTGGTCAAAGGGGGAGGCAATTTTAGTCTTTAGGTAATCTGCAAAGGGCTGAAAAACTAGTTTAGGGTGGTGTTTTTGCTTCTGTGCTGAAGGGCAGCTTAGACAGAAGGTTTCTTTAATAGCTTTAGTTACTTCAGGTTAAAGATCTTTGTGTGTGTGTGTGTGTGTGTGTGTGTTTTGACAAAGGCAAGCTTCCCCATCACATAAAATGGAGAATAATTGTCCTGGTAATATTTTAGCTTAAACTAATGAACTTATGGTAGAAGGTGTTTTTTTTTTTTTTGGTGGTACTGGGGGTTTGAACTCATGGCTAGGCAGGTGCTCTACCACTTGAGCCACTCTGCCAGTCCTGTTTTGTGTTGGGTATTTTCAAGATAGGGTCTTGTGAACTATTTGCTGGCTTTGAACTTTGATCCTCCTGATCTCTGCCTCCTGAGTAGGTAGGATATAGGCCTGAGCCACCTGAACCCGGCTAGAAGATAGTTTTGATGTCTTTGTTTTGTTGGCATCTTACAGAAGTCTGTAAACTTACTTGATTTCAAAATTTGTTCTTAAATCTAGATCAGATCAGACATTGTGTGGCTTACTCTCTCACATAGTTAGCTACAGTGACTTCTCAGATTTCTTCAGGATGCCTGCAGCACTTGTGGAAAATAGCCAGGTTATCTGTGAAGTCTGGGCCAGCAATCTAGAGGAAGAGATGAGGAAGATCAGAGAAATCGTGCTCAGTTACAGTTACATTGCCATGGTAAGTAGCTCTACTCTGACTCACCTTCCCATATGGGCTTAGGGAATGTTTAATGTAAGATTCTGAAAAGAAATGATTCTATTCCAGTAAAGCCAAAAGTTAAACATGATGGAAATTTATAATTTTTTAAATGAAACATCAAGTTAGCCAATGTTTCTGAGGAGAGTGTAATCTCTATTACACTCTTAAATTTTACAAAAAAATTTAAGAATTTTTTGTAATGTAACTCTGTTTGAACAGAGTTATAACTTCAAAAGCAGTTGTGCCAACCATAGTGGGTACATTTGTTCTGCAGATATGAATTTGACTATACAGTGTTTTCAAAAGTTTTTTTTTTTTTTGCGATACTGGTGTTTGAACTCAGGGCCTACGCCTTGAGCCACTCTACCAGCCCTTTTTCATGATGGGTTTTTTTGAGACAAAGTCTTACAGAACTACCTGCCCAGACTGGCTTGGGACTGCGATCCTCCTGATCTCTGCCTCTTGAGTAGCTAGGATTATAGGTGTGAGTCACTGGTGCCTGATGGTAAGAGCCCTTTGGAGAGAGGCGTGTGTTTTGTTTTACTCTAGTGCCCATTACTTGTTATTGTTTTCAAAGCCACCTCACGTTACTGCATTACATTAGCTGCTTGGAGTTTGTGACTCTAGCTTAGTGGTTCTACCATTAACTTATCAGTCTGGTGTTCAGAACTCTATGATCTTGGTCTAGTATTTTTGTTCAAGCTAAATGCAGCTTTTTGTTATTTTTCCTGAATGGTTGTCTGACTTTTCTGTTTGTATTTTGTTCATACATTGTTCTCACCTTAGAATGTTCATAAGGGACTACCTGTCTACCTATAATTACTTAGTTACTTCTACTTACATTTTGCCTAGATCTTTAGATTGTATAAAGTTTCATGATTCTAGTACTTCTTCAGTATCAATAAGAACAGTGTTTTTGTGCCTAACCATGGAGCTTATCGTGTAAATTTTATAAATTGAAGTCAAACTTTTAAATTATCAATGCAATATCTACTGTCTTGTGAAATGTTATGGTGAGAGGCTTTTTTTCCCCTAGGACACAGAGTTTCCGGGTGTTGTAGTGCGACCAATTGGTGAATTTCGTAGTTCCATAGATTACCAGTATCAGCTTCTGAGGTGCAATGTTGACCTTTTAAAAATTATCCAGCTGGGCCTAACATTCACAAATGAGAAGGGAGAATATCCTTCTGGAATCAACACTTGGCAGTTCAACTTCAAATTTAACCTTACGTAAGTATTTGAGATACTTTTCAGTGTTATTCTTAAGATCTCCTACATTTGTGCAGACTGATTTCTAATTTTACTGATTTTAACTTTTGTTTCCACTGAACCCTGGTAGATGTTGGACAGAGCAGTTAAGGTAGAATAGAGAAACTCAGAAAGTAAAGTCTCTTTTAAAGAACTCTTACAACTTAACATAAAAAGACAATCCAGGGCTGGAGATATATGAGTCGTAGAGCACTTTCCTGTCATCTGCAAGGCCCTGGGTTCAGTCTTAAGCACTGAAAAAACAAAAACAACCCAACTAAAAATTGGCAGAAGATATACAAATGACCAATAGTGCATGAAAAGACACACAGCATTATTAGTCATTAGGGAAATGCAAATCAAAACCATATTGAGAAGCCACTCCCACTGGAGAGGCTATGCTCAAAGAGATATCATGACTTAGTACATATAATATTTAATAACTAACAGAAGTCAGTATAACATAAGTTGGTTATGGTTTGGAGAAATTGAAAACTTCATACATTGTTGTTAGGAATTCTTTGGAAAATTTTGGAGAACAGTGTGGTAGATTCTCAAAAGGTTAAACATATAAACCAGTAACTCTACTCGTAGGCATATGCTTGAGAGAAATGAATAAATAAAATGTGTTGTATCTGTACAATGGAATATTATTAGGCAATAAGAAAGGAATAAAATTCTGATATATACTACATATGGATAAACCTTGAAAACATTGTGTTCAGGGAAAGAAGCCAGTTACAAAATAACACATATGCTATGATTCTATTTATGAAATGTCCAAGGTAGAAATAGAAGAGATCATTGGTTGTCTAGAGTGGGGATTAGGGGATCCTTTGGGATAATGGGCATAGGATTTCTTTTCACAGGATTTTTGTTTTGGGTGGGACTGGGGAGCTTCAAGCTTGCTAGGCAGGTGCTCTACTACCTGAGGCACACCTCCAGCACTAGGCTTTCTTTTTAAGATGATAAAAATGTTTGATAATTATAGTGGTAATGGTTGTATAACTAATATACTAAGAACCAATGAATTTTATAAGTAAGTTAATTGTTTGGTCTGTGAATTTAATTAATTAATTTATGTGGTACTGGGATTTGAACTCAGGGCCTACACTTTGAGCCACTCTATCAGCCCTTTTTCGTGATGGGTTATTTTGAGATGGAGTCTTACAGAACTATCTGCCCAGACTGGCTTGGGACCTCAATCCTCTTGATCTCTGCCTCTTGAGTAGCTAGTATTACATGTACAAGCTACTGGTGCCCAACTGAATGAATTATATTTAAATAAAACGGTTTAAAATAAAAAAAGTAAAGTTAAGACCCAAGTTGTAGTTAGGCCAGTATTTAAATAGGGATTCTCTCATTTCTTAGCTGAGTGATTTCGGGTCAGTCCTTTTACCTGTACTTAAGTTTGTCTATAAAGCAAGATGTTTAGTACCTGTCATAATAGAAGTAAGATAGCTGAGTATGGTGGTGCATGCCTTAATCCCAGCTACTTGGGAGGCAGAGGTGGGAATCTGAGGCCAGTTTAGGCAAATTTAGGCAGACTATATCTCAAAGAACAAAATGTAAAACAAAAGGGATAGGGGCTCTTGCCTAGCATGCATGAGACCTTGGGTTCAATCCCAGTACCACCAAAAAAAAAAAAAACAAAAAAACAATAGCGTGGGTGCAAGAATGGTAGTTGAATCTGAAGCCTATTTGATAGTTGGCACATTTTAATGAAACAAATTTTAGTAAAAAGCACATAATGTAAAATTTACCATCTTAACCATTTAAAAATGTTCAGTGATGTTAAGTAAATTTACATTGTTGTGAAACAGATTTCTAGAACTATTGTTTTACCAGTCAAAACTGAAACTCTGTACCTATTAACTCTTACCCTCTCCATGTAGCTTTTCATAACCACCATTCTATTTTCTATTTCTGATTTTAACAGCTTTAGATATAAGTGGAATCCTAGAGTATTTGTCTTCTTTTTCCCTTTGAGACAAAGTCTCACTATGTAGTCCAGGTTGCCTCAAACTAACATGCTCTTGCCTCAGCTTCCTAAATGCTAGGATTATAGGTAAACACCATGCCTAGCTCTGTCTTTTTTGACTGGCTTATTCATGTTGCAGCATTTGGAAGGTTTTCCTTCCTTTTTAAGGCTGAGTAATCTTCCATTGTATGCATAAATCACATATTATTTATTCATCTGCCAGTGGACACTTGGGTTTCTTCCATCTTTTGGCTCTTGTACACCTATGTTTGCAAGTACTTCTTCGAGACCCTGCTTTTAATTCTTTCAGATGTATACTCAGAGTGGGATTGCTGGGTCATGATAGTTCTCTTTTTTTAATTTTGAAAATGATATAATTTTTTAAAGGAGAAAGTATAGAGGAGACTGTCATTTTGCTGATTGCACTACGTGGTGGTTCTGATTAGGTCTTAATATTTTAATACTGCTTTGCATTAGAACATTCAATAGCTGGGAGTAATTTTTTGATTTGTTCATATGTTTTGAAAATCTGAGGTTCATACAATTTTGGGGGATAATCTCGATCTTTCAAGATTGTGATGGTTTTCTTTCTGATTTAACTTGAGTATATATGAGAACCATTAAAATTGTGAAATCTAGTGGGAAAGGAGTCATTTAGTTTAATTTATTTCCCTACTTTTGCATTATGTGGTATTTTAAATAACATTGTGGTTAAGCTGATGGGTATATTTACAGTGGAATACTATGTCAGTTACAAGGGTATGTTATGAATATTGATTTGGAAAGGAGACCTATGATTTATAGATACAGGGATTTAGGTACATAGGTGTAGGTAGAGAAAATAGGCTGTAAAGATGTATATAAGCTCAGTTATTGTTTCTGTGGAGCAGCATTATATGAACAATAATTTCATTTCTGCTGTTTTTTTTTTCTTTCTAGATGGTACTGGAGTATAAACTTAGGGCCTACACCTTGAGCCACTCCACCAGCCCTTTTGTGTGATGGGTTTTTTTGAGATGGTGTCTCATGAGCTATTTGTCCAGGCTGGCTTGGAACCATGATCTTCCCTCTCTCTGCTTCCTGAGTAGTAGCTAGGATTACAGGCATGAGCCACCAGTGCCTGGCTCTATATTTTTTATCAGTGTATATTAATTGCATAAAGGAGGTTTTACTGAGATATTTTCATATATGAATATAATGTACTTTGATCACATTCACCCCCTCTATTATTCTTACCTCCCTTTTAAAACAAATTTTGCTGTTGGAGTGGCTCAAGTGGTAGCGCACCTTCCTAAAACAAATTTTAATGGGTTTCATTATTCGGTTTTCATACATGCATATGAAGTACTTGGCCACCCCTCTTCACTCTTTTTTTTTTCGGGTGGGACTGGGGTTTGTACTCAGGGCTTTGTACTTTCAAAGCAGGTGCTCTACAGTTTGAGCCATGTCTCCAGTCTTCCACTTCATTTTCTCCTTTTATATCCTCCCCAGTAGTTACCGCCACTAAACAGTCCCTCTATTTTACACTTGTGTTATTTTTTTTTTTCTGGTCTGGAGGCAACATGCACATGTGATATTTTGTCTTTCTCAGGCTGGCTTATTTCACTTAGCATGATAATTTCCAATTCTATCGATTTTCCTGCCAAGGACATAATTTTATTCTTCTTTATGGCTGAATAATTCTCCATTGTGTATATATACAAGATTTTCTTTCCATTCATCAATTGATGGATACTTACGCTGATTTCATAATTTGGCTATTGTGAAAAGTGCTATTAATGGGTGTGTAGGTGTCAAGTATGCTGACTTTAATTTCTTCAGCTGTTTACCTCAGAGTGGTATAGCAGGATCATGTAGTAGTTTTATTTTTAATTTTCTGATGAACCTCCATAGTGATTTTTACATTCCCACCAACAGTGAGTAAGGCTTCCTTTCCTCCTGCTCCCTGCATCCTTGCCAGCATTTGTTGTATTCTTGATGATTGCCATTCTTTGATTTGCATTTCCTTTATAGCTAAGGATATTGATCATATCTTCATGTATCTATTGATTTGAGCTTTGGAGAATTGTCTGTTTGATTCCTTTGCCCATTTATTGGATTGTTAATTCTTTTGGTGTTTAATTTTTGGAGCTCTTTATATAGTCTGATATTAATCCTTTATCTGATCAACAGCTGGCAAAAATTCTTTCCTATCTGTAAGTTGTCTCTTCATTCAGGTAATTATTTTCTTTGCTGAGCAGAAGCTTTTTAATTTGATACAATACCACTTGTCAATTCTTGTTCTTATCTCCTGAGTAATTGAAGTCCTATTCCAAAAGATATTACCTATTCCTATATCTTCAAGGGTTTTCCCTATGTTTTCCTCTAGTATTTTTCCCCTAGTAGTTTCAAAGTTTCAAGTCTTACATTTAGATCTCTGATCTATTTTGATTTAATATTAATTTTTGTACAGGTTGACAGATAGGAGTCCATTTTCAGTCTTTTTTTTTTTTTTTCAGTACTGGGTTTGAACTCAGTACCTACACCTTGAGCCACTCCACCAGTCCTTTTTTGTGATGGGTCTTTTCGAGATAGGGTCTCATAAACTATTTGCCTGAGCTGGCTTGAATCACGATCCTCCTGATCTCTGCCTCCTGAGTAGCTAGGATTACAGGCGTGAGCCATCAGCACTTAGCTCAGTTTCAGTCTTCTACTTGTAGATATCCAGTTTTCCCAACACCATTTGTTGAAGAGACTTTTTTTGTAATGTATGCTTTTGGCTCTTTTGTCAAAATTCAGATGGTTGTAGCTGTGGGGACTTATTTCTGCATCTTCTACTCCATTGATCTACATGTCTGTTTTTGTGCCAGTACAATGCTGTTTTTGCTAGTATAGGTTTGTAGTGTAATATGAAGTCAGGTATTGTGATACCCCCAGCATTACTCTTTTTGCTCAAGATGGCTTTGGTGATTTAGGATCTTTTGATTTTTCTGTTTCTGTGAAAAATGACATTGAATTTTAA